ACTCTGTAATTCACTTTGTGAGCTTTACTAATCACTGAACAAGAGAAGGCAGCAATTGAAAATTTTTCTAGAAATTCTTCTATATTTTATTTACGCCCCCGTTTATTCACTATTTTCCCACCGTACTATTATTTTCATTTTCATTAGTAGCGAAGTAGTTTAGCCAAGGGTAGCCTAGGTTAAGGTGTGCATTAGGAAGTGGCGCACGATTAGAGAAGGATGGTTCTCGAATGGAATCCGGAATGATATCCGCCCAATCCAACCGAGCCTTCCATTCCTTCTAGGTCAGTTGATTGGTATCAGACGTCTGGGAGGATAAAAGCATTAAACTGTACATCGACTGGCCACCGCAACTTTGGGTAGGCGCCATACGCATTCAATACGCCACTATGATTTTGAAAAGAAGTCGAGTGCGGGGAGGAATTTTGTAAACGGGATGGGTAACTCCAAAGACATCGTGTTCTTATCCTATCGCTCAGACCTCCTGATACCTTGGGTGTAGCCCTTAACCTCCGCGAAGGCTTGAAACAGAGAAAGGAACGATATACTTCTGATAGAAGTTTACTAGCAGTATCATGCGAACGCTAACCGAAAGGAAATAGAGGTTGCAGTAAAATTCGGGAAGTACAGTAGCAATTATTAATATGATCAAAATTTATTAGGCTTTTGAAGTCTCTTGGGACCGTAAACGAAATTGCGGCCATAGAGTTCATAATGTCTTGCTTAGGATAGGACGTGGTGGAGTCGTCGACGGCGGTCACTGAGCCGACCCGCCCTCCTGAAGGAGGGGCACCGATGGCTAGTTTGAGTCAGACAAATTTCTCCTCCTGCCTTATATGATGGTTGGACTGGAGTCCTCTGAAGAAGTAAACGCAGAACCCTATCGGATAGGGGTTCGCCTTTAAGTTTGTTGGAAAAGAAACATCGGAAAGGTTTGTATATGGGAACAGCCAATCAATTCTGTGAGCGTTGCAGCTATAACCAATTGATTTTTCTGAATGCTATAGGGGAATACTTCATCATTCGCCCAACACTAATCTTGAACTCTTACTTTTTACAATTCTCTAAGACCGACTGCATTTGGAAGGAAAGATTTCAGTCCTTTTATTGTGTTGCGAGATGGCAAGAAGTCCAAGCACTCGTATACATCCCTGTACGTTCTTTGAGCAAAGTAGAATGCGTGGCGCCATCCAAGGAAAGTGATAACAACAAGTAACCTAATATAGCCACTTGGCTGGATGTTCGAATCTGATCCTTTTTACTAAAATGTAAATGACCAAATACTTATCCAGGGGATTTGAAAAAAATTTTGAATTAGCTTTGTCCATTCAATGTTGACTATCTACAAGGGAGCTAATTTGGTAATTCTGAGACCATGCATCTATGCGTATGATTAATTGACTTGTAGCTTGTTTATATTTTTATGCTTCGATCATCAATAATAAATATTGTTGATGTGTACAATAACAATAACCGTAATACTTCAATATTTATATTAATCTCAGAGAGAAGACGACTGGACCTTTTTTGAGATTGATACAAATTTTATGGGCTGAGCGCGTAGCCTCAAACGCAGCATGAGTATGAGCAGGTAGCAAAAAATATCGGGTCAGTACAATTTTTTGTTATAAATAGTAACTTCTTAATACGGAATAGCCTCAATCAAATGTTGCGATTATAAAAAGATTCTAGTCAATTCTAACAATCACACATCAGAGTAATTTCTGATTAAGCTTCCGAGTTAATACTAACAACTTTATTGGTGAATGTTTTTTTCCAGCTAACTCGCCTTCTTCGGAGCCTTGAAGTCGAAAACATTTTTGTGATTCCTACGGTCACCTTTCCGAATCACGAAAGAGCCTTCCAAAGGGGATCAAAGGGTGAGACTCAAGATAGCTAATGCTGACCTTGGGGAGAATGAAGCCCTTTGTTATCCCTGAGCTTTGTTATCCAACTGCAACTTAACTACGAAAAAAAAAACGCATTTTGTTGTGTGGTGTTTTCCGTTTATTTTTATTATAGTACATATATTTACCGATTTATATCTATTTCCAACATTTTTTACAGCATATAACTCGGCCATATGTCTGCTTGAATGTGCTCAGTAGGCTTTCTGTAACAGTTTCGGAGATACATGGACTTTGGCTATTTGGCCTTTTTCTGTTCCAACACAATTGAATACCTACAAAGGGATAAATGAATATTGGCCTGTACGAAGTGAATAAAAAGCCAGTGCGAAGTGTTCAATTCTCTGAATCGTTTTATTTAAAGGCACAGATCACGACAATTTTGAGGTGCCCTCTTTAGGTTGAAAAGTGGGAGAGTTGATGTAGGGCGATGGTGGCGAAGGAAGCGAGGGAATCCGCCTACTTCAAGGCTTCTTAAAAATTGTGGAAGTGGAGGTTGTACGAGATCACCGTGACGGTAGTGGCATGCAAGGGGTGTTTGGACGAGATTTGGGAGCAACCATTGCCCGGAGAGATAACTACATCAAAGCGAAATTGTCCGAAACTGTTTCGCTGTCGTAATGGGTTATGGCAAGTTGTTTGAACTTCCTACTTGGGAGTCTCTTGATATAGTGTAGCCTCTACAAAGCCATTGAAGTTCGTCCACGATGGGTGTGACATTCACACGATACAATCCCTGGCCCCTTTCGTGCCCTGTTCATGACGTTTTTCGACCTTTTCGAATGGCAGGTATGGTAT